TCGATTCAAAGACACAGCACTCATACTCCAGCTCTTCATACAGCCCTCCGCAGTCATCCCCTCCCATTCAAAAGTCTCCACAACAACAGCACTATTACTATCGCTCTCCTCAACCATCCCCTCACACGTCCCAACCCAAGCCCTTCACCGCTCACATCACTCCCTCGCCCTACGGTGGCTCCCATTCTGACCAAAGCTCGTACGACAAACGGGTCTCTCCCTCGCCGTCAGTTAAGTCTTACCCTCAGACACAACAACAGCACCAGACAAATGGTTACGACTCTAAGACCCAAAGCCAATATAGTTCACAACAAAGTCATAGGCAATATTCTCCAGCGCAAAGAGTACAGAGCTCTTCCCAGTCTCAATCTTATCGCTCTCCTCCACAATCGTATGATAAGACAGCGCAAAGTTATGGTAATCAGGATTCAGGAGCTGATGGCCAAAGTAGATATAATGATAAATCAAATCAGAGCCCATATATTGAAGTGAAACATAAAATGCAAACCAATTATGAGATGACCGTAAAGAATAGATGCGAACAAAACATTCAAAGCATGTATTTTGAGATTAAAAATCTTAAAGAATCGGAATCTGAGTGTATGTATAGAATAGAGAAGGCAAAGGAAAACGTGTGTCAATTGGATATAATGTTTAGTAATTTTGATTTGGGAGACCAGTCCTGTCAGAAACAGTTCATGGAAGTGAACGGACAGAGAATGTGCGGATCAATCGCTAGGAATACAATGAAAACTTTTAAATTCAATGAAGACAACGAAATTATGATTCATTTGAGAGCAGAGGTAATGAGTTTTAATAATGGATTTGATATAAAGGCTCGTCAGGTAGAGTGCAGTCCACCCAAGGATAAGACACAACAACAGGGCTACGGACAGGCTATGTATACAATTAAAGATAGAGATAGGGATAGACAGCCTCAGCCTTCAAATGGACAGAATGGACAATCGTATGGACAGTCTATGCATTCTAATGGGTTTAGACCTTCACAACAACCGCTATCGGGAAGTGACGGAACACAACCCTATGATATGCGAAAACAAAGTCAACCCCGGGTTAGAGAGCCTCCGATGCAAACTAATTACGATAGTTTTGATACGCGAATGCCGTACCGACCGGAAGGTCCAGACAGACGACTGGGCGCACCCGTGCCTACAGCCGAAGACAGGTGTCAAATCGTATATTCAGAAATAGAGTTCTCCATAACGAGTCCAAAGCACCCGAACTCCTATCCATCCAATATGTTCTGCATGTATACCATAAGGAAAGCCAATCCCAACGTTTGCGCCATTGATATCAAATTTAACTCGTTTGACATCGAAGACGACCCGAAATGCAACAAAGACTACCTGGAAGTGGACGCCGGGAAGATATGCGGTCCTCTTCCTCCCAGTCATGAAAGTAAGATGTGATACAAACGCTATTTATTGCTTTAAATCTAATTATTGTTTGAATTTTTGATTTCAAGGGCGATATTACTTCTTACAAGAAGAGTACGAAAAGGTTTTGATCTTTAAATCTGACGATTCGGGCGCCAAATCTGGCTTTTCATTACACGTCCAACAAATTGCCGACTGCACTAAGCCATGGGCGCCGAGTATGTCATAGTATTGTTCATTATTCCTTTTGATTGCATGCGTAACTCTTTTTTTACTTATACCAAAGTGATGGCTCCAACGCCTCCCACAGTTTGTGATGTCTGTCACCATAACCTGAGGGGACAGATAATGAGCTCCAATTACCCGAACCAATACAGCGATTATATGCGCTGCTCATACCGTATACAAGCCATGAATCAGGACTTTTGTCGGGTGAAGCTCTTCCTCAGGGATGTTGATATAGAGTCGAGTCCTTCCGGAGATTGTATGAAAGACGCTCTCATTATTGATTCTCAACGTCTTTGCGGCAAAGATATCAGCGCTAAAGAAAGTGAGTATTCAATTGGTTTCTGTGATAACAACTTTGATTCATATAAACTCGATATTACTATTGCAGTGACGCTCACATTCCCTGCGAGTCAGCCCCGAGAAGTTCACATCGACTTCCAAAGCGATGTTAGCGGAAGCGGTCGAGGATTTCTCATTGAATACATTCAGGTCTAGAACTGGATTTACATGTAATTAGTTGTCATATGTTTTAACAAATTATTCAATCCAATTACAGGAGTCGTGTCAGACACAGGCGACTAATCGTCAGCCATCGATAGCACAGCCGATAGCACCGGTCGATCACAATTCAAACACCTCTCCCACGATAACGGTCTCCGTTGAGCCGATTGCTGCCAAACCCGACAACAGAATGGGAGACAACAGAATGGGAGCACTCATTCCTCCCATATATCCACCCAATTATGTCTCTCGCGCTCACATCGAAGAGATCGTTCAGACACAGGTCCAGGTCCTCGACAACCGCACCAATGATGCCGTCGACCATCAAAATAGAGATCCGATCATTAAATAGTAACTCATTTTTAAATAAAATATTTTTTTATTATAAATTAATTATTTAAACTCAAAACTTCCACTAAAATGTTCTTTAAATAAAAATATATCTTTAAATTAATTATAAATTATAAACATTTGATTCTTTGAGTGATTAGTCTATTAGTAGCCATTTATGTAACATAACTGTCTTCATAGGAATCCTGGTCTCGACCACAGGTTCTAATAGCCATCGAATTAAATCCAAACAATATTAGTAGCCATTTATGTAACATAACTGTCTTCATAGGAATCCTGGTCTCGACCACCGGTTCTAATAGCCATCGAATTAAATCCAAACAATTCTTTGAGTATAGGTTTTCGGTTAACTTTGATATCTCGTACTTTCTGTCCTTCATTTTCACAAAAGCGGCCTCACATTCGGTGGCATCGCTTTCATTGAAACGGAAAGGCTTTTTGCCACAAATCATGAGATAAAGACAAACTCCGAGTGCCCAACAGTCCACTGGAAATGAGGGATATTTTCTCAAAACATCCACTTTTTCTCCAAACTTCTTATGTATGAAAAGTTTCATCAATTGAGGTGACATGTAATCAGCAGTTCCGGCCACTCGTTTCTCTTTAAGGACCTTTTTATCCTTAGTATAGGCGACACGACTTAACCCAAAATCAGTTAATTTAAGCAAATCTTCTTTGAAAACCAATACATTGTTTAGTTTGAGGTCTTTGTGAGCGATGTTTTGTTTGTGCAGAAAATTCAGACCATTTGCTATTTGTCTGAAATAATGTTTGGCTTTTTGTTCAGGAAATCGTTGACCAGTAGTGGCTTTCAGTTGAGACGAAACATCACCGTTTGCTAATTCCATGATTATATAACCCTTCCGTTGATTATTCTCGTGGATAATGAAGTGCTGAAGGATTTGAACAATATTTATGTGTTGTTTATTCACTCTTTCCATTATAACGATCTCCTGAGCAAACGATTCTTCAGTTTGTGCTCTTGGTTTCAAAGGAGACCACAACTCAACCACTTTACAGGCCATTACACCGGTCTTTGCGGTGGTTTCATAAACCCAACCAAAAGCTCCAAACCCTAACTGCTCCCCCAACTGCTTCTTTAATGTTAAGCCCTGACTCCTGAGACAGTCATCAGTGGACTTGAATTCTTCGGGCACTTTATAGACACGCGTGACGTCTTTAGTTGGGATCTGACTCGGAGTCACATTCTTGTCGGCTCTCCAATCAATGCCAGACTTCAATGTCTTGGCTGTGGTTTTGGGTTTACTTTTTTTAGCTTTCTTTTCAGTTTTGTCTGAAAGAAACGGACAATACTTCCATATGAAAGACATTTACCACAAATTTATACAACACTTGGTATTCAATCAGAATTTGTATAAACCGTTAAAATTGAATTTTTCAAAAAATCAGTGTTTTTTATAAATTCAAATTAATTGTGAATTCTATAATCAGTTATACTGTATATTCATTTCGCGCTTAAGTTAATTGTTTCAAATAAGTAAGAATTAGTATATTTTTACACTTTTCTATAATTATTATAGAGTCATAGGGATTACTGTTAATTGTAGTTTTCACTCTTCACTTACAGTTTTCCCTTAACATGCATTAAATCTCGTAGTTTTCATATCTTTGCATAGAATTTAGACACATTTAAAGCATAAAATGACATAAAATGAGTACAATTTATAAAATACTATTTAATATAAATTAATTTAAATACAAAAATAAACATTGAATTCTCAAAACTTTGAATAAAAACACTTTTCTAATCAATTATTTTTGTAATTGTTTTCGTTGTAATTAAATGTCAAACTATTGGCCACTCTTTGAACCGGGTTTTGAGCCCGTGTTTGAGGCCACCTTTTTATCGCCTTCAGGGCCTGTCTTCGATGGTGTCTTCTCAGCGGTTGTACCAGTTTTTGATCCCGAATTAGAGCCCGACTTGAATCCCAGCGTTGAGCCCGAGTCAACCGCTTGTGTTTTTGAACCCGATTTCGAGCCTATCTTTGATCCCACTTTTGAGCCCGTCTTCGACGACGGCTTCTCATCAGTTGTGGCAGTTTTCGATCCCGTATTTGAGCCCGACTTGAATCCCAATGTGGATCCCCCGCCGGCAGTCGCCTCTGTCTTTGAGCCCGTTTTTGAACCCGTCGTCGAACCGGTCTTTGCGTCAGTTGTCGAACCAGTTTTAGATCCGCTGCCAATCGCGGATCCGGTCCGCGAAGACACGACTTTAGATCCAGTTTGCGAACCCATTGACGATGAAAGGGTTGAGCCGCCAGTATTTGAGCCCAACTTTGAGCCACTGCTAGAACCGGCGCTCGAGTCGAGTACAGAACCGACGGAAGAACCGGTTCCCGAACCCATCCCTGAAGTTTTGGAACCAGTTTTAGACGGAGTTTTGGATTCAGTTTTAGAAGGAGTTTTGGAATCAGCCTTTGGAGCGGTCGCCGAACCGGTCGTTGGGACCGAAGTTTTGGCCGCCGATTCGTCGGTCACTTTTGAGTCTTTCTTGTCGGTAGTCTCCGGAGGCGCTGCCTCTGGGGCTGGAGTTTCTGGTGGTGTCGGTTCACCCGCCGGTTCAGCCGGTTTTGGCTCTTCGTCCGCTTGTTTGGATCCGCAACAGCCCATTGTCTCAAATGTTTAGTCTATTTAATACCAATTATCACTAAACACACGATCCTTTCAAATATAATGTCAGAATTGGATTCACTTCTAAACAAATAGTAGTTTAAAATTTGGGTTAAATTTAAGTTTTGCACAAATCTATTAGAAAATAACGAAAAACTAATCGTTGTTTGAAAGGCAAGTGAATAATTAGAAAAATGTTTTCAAATATTTGAATACAATTAACATTGAATTACTCATTGAGATCATTATTATATGTAAATGTTTATACTATATTTGCGCGTGGTTAATTGTCCGTTTATAACAGTTATAAATCATAATAAATTGTTATTTAATTGTTAGCCATTTATTCTGAATTTTATCACTTATTCTTGTGTTATCAATGGATTTCAAACAATTGGTGTTAAATATAGGAATTGTGATTATATTGTCTATAAATGGGATGACATGTAAAAAGTACGAAGACTTTAAGAATAGCAACGACTCGATTGACGGCAATTTGACCATCACTTTGGACACTGAAGACAGTGAGTTGTCCACCGCCTCAATGGTCATCATTACATCCCTGTCGATGACAATCGGTGTCATTCTGTTTGGGATTCTTGTGTTTATGGCTCACATCGAGAGACAACACTATCTCACTATTCGTAAAGAGAATCTCATTATCGATATGTCGGACGCCGTCAGCACTTCCTTGTGATCTCTCATTTGGTTTTCATTTCATTTAAATTAACTTTTTTGCCAATTGTCTACTGATTGTCAATACATTAGTTCTGATAATAAGGAAAATGTTAATTTTGTAATCTATATCTTAATCTAATTTAATTTTTAATAATTACAAATAAAATAATTTATGTTTACAAAAGCCTAATGTTTTAACCGCAAGCTGTGATCAAACTTGATATAAATATAATAAAATAAAACCAATAATTAACTAATTATTGCCATTTAAACGACGAAAAGACATGAATATTAAGGTAATGTATAAATGAATGGTTTGAATGTTTGCGCTTTGAATGGCATTCAATGTAAAGGAAAGGAGAGATGTATTGACACAAAAGGTGTCACTATTTGTATCGCAAACCAAAAGTTGTGCCGTTTTTTCAAAAACAATAACACATTTCCAAACGTTTGTCTCAACACAACTCGTGGACACAAGAAGTTGTGGCGATAATCATGTCTAACGATGAGTTCAATTACGTTAAGCGCCAGAAAATCATACACTTTGGGAGTCTTGAGGAGAAGGAGAGGGAGAGACTGTCCTCCAAGGGGTCGGCGGTCGGTGTCAACCGAAACATCAATATTAACACTTCCGATGAATATCTGGAGGTCGAGAGGGATGTGATGTCCAAAGAGAAACTGTCGGTATTGGAGGACTTCGAGCGCCGGAAGAAAGCCCGACAAATACCCGTCTCTACCGATGATATCGAAGTGAGGGCTCACTTAAGACAAATCAATGAACCAATTTGTAGGTGACATTTACCGCCGATGACTTGTTTTTACCATTAATTATCTCTTGAATTGCAGGTCTGTTCGGTGAGGGACCGGCCGATCGCAGGGAACGGTTAAGACAATTGTTGGCCCGTTTAGGCGAAGACGCCATCCGGAAGAAGAAGGAGGACGAGAAGGGCGACCAAAAGGAGGTAATAAATTAGACATTGAAGTGATATAAAGCTGATAATTAATTGTTGATGCAATTGACAGTCAACGCAGACCTGGTACCACGAGGGACCCGAATCACTGCATAAGTCCCGGTCGTGGATCGCCGACTATTCCATCCGAAGAGCCAATGATAGGCTCGAAACGGCCAGAATTCAGAGACAAACGCCCGAAGAGACTCGAGAGGCCGCCTCTCAGGAGTTGTACAAGAATTTGGGCCAAATTGAGATCAGTTGCAGTCAAGTCGGCGACATTCGGCCGCTTTCCAGCTGTCAATTCAGTCCCGACTGTTCACTTGTGGCCACTTCTTCCTGGTATGCATTAAATGCTTATTTTACGGTTTAAATCATTTCATTTGTTTTAAAACCAATTGTATTGTTGTATTTCAGGAGTGGTTTATGTAAACTATGGACAATGCCTTCCCTGGAGTTACGGTCAACACTTCGCGGCCACAACTGTAACGCCGGACAAATCACTTTTCATCCAAAATCAACTATAAGTCAATCGGAAGAAGCGTTAAATCTAGCGTCTTGTGGTGTCGACGGATCCGTCTTCTTGTGGAACCTGAAGAGTGAGGAACCGATCGGTAATCTCGAGGGTCACGAACCGAATCGTGTCAGTCATTTGGACTTTCATCCGAGCGGTCGCTTTTTGGCCACTTGTTGTTACGACAACTCATGGCGTTTGTGGGACTTAGAGGGCGGCGAAGAGGTTCTCCATCAGGAGGGACACAGCAAACCCGTTCACGACCTGTCCTTCCAGTGCGACGGCTCACTCATCGCGACCGCTGGTCTCGATTCGTTTGGCAGGGTTTGGGACCTGAGGACCGGCCGATGCATTATGTTTATGGACGGACACCTGAAGGGCGTACTCGGCATCGACTTCTCGCCCAACGGTTACCAAATAGTGACCGGAAGTGAAGACAATAGCGTCAAGATATGGAACCTAAGGGAGCGAAAGCTGGAGTACACGATCGCCGCCCACACGAACGTCATCTCCAAAGTGCTGTTCGAGAAAACGATCGGCAATTATATAATGACCGCTTCCTATGACAACACTGTCAAACTGTGGGCACATCCCGGGTGGACACCCATCAAGACTCTTAGCGGACACGACGGCAAAGTGACGGCCGTTGATGTGTCGCCCGATAATAAGCATTTAATCACATCCTCTTTCGACCGAACGTTCAAATTATGGCAAAAAGAGTAACGTTTGCCACAAATAAGTAGACATTTCATTATTTT